CCGCTTTTCAGGAGGGATTCAGAGTGGATTCAACAGGGTGGAGAAACCCTCCACATCCGCCAGAGTCTGAACGTCCTTCCAGGGCCAACTGACGCCTTTTAAAATGATGCTCTTCACACTGTTTAAATGTATAAGAAGCTAACTTTTTTTCCAGTTTAGATACAAAATTAATTTAAGGTCCACTTTGTAGGAATTCCTCCATCTAATTCCTCCGTTTCCAAATGGCTGTTGCAGCTACGCTAGCCGTCAGGCATCAAGAAGTAACGACAACATGACTTCCACATCGTGGAGTTTTCTCTGGGTGACGAGGTTTGTAATTTAAAAGAAGATTACAAACTGCATTGAATCGTTTGAGCGAGCATGTAATTTACTCCTCCAACAAGATAGAGAATTACGACGTTAGTTTGTTTGTATGTTTGTAGCTTTCCTTTACTAGCCTGTGGTGTGGCTAGTGGATTAGCTAGGCGGGCATACTAGTGCTTTATGTCCCTCTCTGCAATTATGGTTTTTCAAAATGGCGGATAGCCATGGAAACCTCTGTGGACTTACCCGTCCTGTGTACATACAAATAGTAAATCTTTTGCTTATGAGGAGAATACAGATCATTGCAGAGGTAATTTTACACCAAATGAGGACACATTTAGAAATGAAGAACATGATTTTAGCTAATACAATACTTAAAATACTACACAATGTTGCTTTAAGGAATATTATTTCAAAAAGAGGAAGACACCACTAAGCATACATGTAACATGCCTTTAAAGTGATTTATCCACTAAGAAAGCACCTCTGCAAATACTCACTGAGCAACTTAATGAAGCCTGACATTACTTTCATATAAAGACATCACTTTAAATATCTCGTAAATCTCCTCAAAGCTCCAACTGGGCTGATCTTTCTCCACCTTCTAGAAGCAGAAGTCGGTTTTCTAAGTGTCTGTTTCTAAAGCCAGTGATCACTCACAGTGCATGAGGCCTTAAGATGTGTTCATAAACCAGACGTGACATCCATTACCGCTTATTCCCAGTGGGGTCAGAGGGGGGGGGGTACCCCAGATGACAGCGGGGGACACCCTGGACAGTTGGCAAACTCCAAATGTTAAGTGGGATCCATCTTTTCCCCCTTAACCCTTTAAATCCTGATCCAAGAAAAATAGGAAGAATATTGGATTTTTTTTAGTCTGAACTCTTTCTTTGGCCCCTCAACAACATATGAAGAAGAAAAAACAGACATATATTGATCAAATTAGCGTGCAATAAGTCAAAAATATATCTTGGTGTAGTCTTCTACTGGCTGTTATCAGGTATATCTGAATGTGTACAACAGGGGTTTGAGCAAAGCTTTTACCACTGAATGATGCAAAAAGTCTCAGATCCAAAAGACTTCATAAACCGTATCAATCAAATATGATACATTTGGCATTATAGGGTTAAGGGTGTTGGACTGGTAACTGGTCCGAGGGGACAGGCCCCGCCCCCCCACACTGAAGCAGGTGTGGAGGATGGATAAATGGATATTAATGGCTCTAAAAATGATCATTCGGTGGGTAGAAATTGAGAAATGGTAGGTAGGTGCCGAGTGAGACTCCACTCTCAAACCACATGCATCAGTGGACTCAACTAATCCTTCCTAAATGAAACTGAAAGGTACTTTGGGAGCAAACAGACCAGTGACCATCTCATCTTCTGGCCACAGTCCAGCTTCCAGAAGCTGAGCACTTTCCCCCGAACAGCTATGATCATCCTGGACTATCGCCTCCTCTTTTACTGGAGCTGCTGTTTCTAAGTGTTGGCTATCTTATTCTGACCAGATCGGTCTCCAGATATGGAAGTTCTCGTCACAAAATACGTTTAGAAACTGTTTCGGAGATCTGGAAGGAGTGATCTCAGCTGCTTGCTCTTCATCAAATGACACTTTCCTAAATTCTCTAAATATAAACGACTGGTCAGAGTATAAAAGTCCTTCACTCTAGACTACACTCTGAGATTAAATGAATACAAAAATCGTCGGATTGTGCTCCTGCTGAGCCCTGATTTTGGCTGGGTGGATAAAAGTATCCGTTCTTTCTTTTGAGGTCTGGACAGAATTGAGCTCGTGGGGCATATGGATCAGACGGAAAGTGACCTAACCCTATAATGCCAAATGTGTCATATCTGATTCATACGGTGTCTGAAATGTTTTGCGTCTGACTCCTTTTGCTTCATTTAATGGTAAAAACTTTGCTCAAAATCCTATTGTACACAATCAGATACACCTGATAACAGGGGGCAGAAGACTACACAAAACATAATCTTGACTTATCGCATAGTAATACATTATTAATATTAAAAATGTATTTTTCGTTTTTCTTTTTACATATTTTTTTAAAAGGGCAAATAAGGAATTCAAACAAAAAAAAAGTAATTTTCTGTTTTGTTTTATTCTTGGATCAGGCTTTAAAGGGTTAATATCCAAAGCCATCTTCCAAAAGGGACCTTTAAGGACTTCTAAGGGTTCCTATCCAGGCACCAACCAACAATTTAGACGTCCTGACTGTGAGGCAGACCGATGGCCGAACTATTACGAACTAATTTTCATAATGAGGATGAATTTGCACGACCCAAGACTGATACTGAATCCTTTACTCCTGAACTATCCGGCCCTGCTGGAGGTCCTCAGGTGGCTCCTCCCTTTGTCTGATTCAGACCTCCACAGCTTTTCCTCCTCTCTCTTCTTTGTGGCTCTTTGGCCCAGAGCCCAGTCTGAGTCTGACGGGGGTCAGAGAGGTTTGACAGAGTGTGTTTGTTTATAAAGGAGGGCCGACCCCACATGCCCCGATGTGACCCCCATTCACAGGCCGACATCTTTTCTCACAAAATGCAAAGTCAATAAAGATTTTCCAAGATTTCCCGGCTACATTGTTAACTCTTCGATCCGGGTTTGTGACCCACAGACTTTACAATGCTGCACTATAACTGCAATTACCACTGTGCAATTAATGTTTAGAAATGTGTATAAGTCAACTTAAACCTCTTCTTTATTCCCCGATCCACTTTATATGTGCATATATGAATATATATCAGAATCAGAAATACTTTAACAATCCCAGAGGGAAATTATATTTGTTACTAGCTCCATAGATAAAACAACAGCATATACATATATACATGTCTATACATACATATATATATATATATATATATATATACACAAAATTCCACACAGAATTTAGATAAATATATACATCCACTTCTTCTTCTAACTTGTGCAACTTGGTCAATTACTATTTATAAATGTATATAAGTCACCATTAATCTCTTCTTTATTTCTTTTTTCCCCTGATCCACTGTATATATGCATATATGTATATATATATATGATGCACTGTATTTAGCTCATGCACCTTTTCCTCCTTTTGGAACTTTTTTGGGATAACAAGAGCCGATGTGGCACGTGCATTTCTCCACTGTGAGATCAATAAAGTCTATCTTATCTTATCGTATCGTATCGTATCGTATCGTATCGTATTGTATCTCATCTCATCGTATCTTATCGTTTCTTATCGTTTCGTATCGTATCGTATCGTATCTTATCTTAATTTATCGTTTCGTTTCGTTTCGTTTCGTATCGTATCGTATCGTATCTTATCTTATCTTAATTTATCGTTTCGTTTCGTTTCGTATCGTATCTTATCGTATCTAATCTCATCGTATCGTATTGTATCGTATCGTATCGTATCTAATCTCATCGTATCGTACCGTATCGTATCGTATCGTTTCTTAATGTATCGTATCTTATCTTAACGTATGGTATCTTATCATATCTTATGTATCTTATCTTATCTCATCTTATATTTAGGTTTTTTGGGCCTCCGTGTGCTCTTCGGTTGTGTTTCAAAGCAATTATTTTAGACGCATGAATGACTCTTGTCTGTTTTCTGCACAAGGACAACAAAGGGAGTCTGATCTGATCTAATGTGGCTGAAGGAACAGACGTCTCCTGATGGCAGACAGAGAGACACTCTGAGCTTTCTGTCAATACACAGACCACAAAACGCCTCTCAGCCGCCTCACCTCCATTAATTATGAAGCATTTTGGGACAGACAGATGAACAATGATGAGCTCATAATGGGGTGATGCCCCCCCCCCCCCATCCGGCCCAACACCTGCCGTCACTCTGGAACGAGCATCCGTCTTCTTCTACCTAACTAAGTCTCAGAGTTTAAGTCGTGTGCAGCCTAGGGTTGTCACGATACTAAAATGTTCAACTCGATACTGAGGAAAATACTCGATACTCGATACCATTTTCGATACCACAAGGATAAAAACAAAGACCCCAAAATGTAACTGAATTTTGACAGGTTAGTGTCTTTAGTTTCAAACTGACCTATTACTGATGTTATGGTGGCCCACATTAATGACCCTAACCCTAATCCTGACCCTAACCCTAACCCTGACCCTAACCCTCCACCCTTCATAAATGTGAGAAATAAATATTTTTTGGTTAAACTTTTGGATGTATTGTACAAACCTATTTAACATCCACTATACAACACTATAACAACAATATAATATGTATAGAGTTTAATGAAGTGATTGAAAGATTCACTTAACAATTTTAAAATTAATATCTATATTACCATGAGGCAATTAGGATTTTCTTGCCTGGGATCTTCCTATTGGTGACCTAATCAAAATGGCCGACTTGGATGTGGGCGGAGTTTGCAGCCAGACGTATTTGATTAATGTTGGCGTGTTGTTATTAGCCATTAGCCGCAGCTAGCAATTCATGGCTAACGTCACATTAATGATCATAAACAACATAAATAAATAAATCTGAGAAAAGGTGGTGGTGGAGGGGGGGGTATCCATACTTTTGAAAATGAGTATCGTATCTGGATACAACATTTTATAACCTGTAAGCTAACTTTAAGCTAACCTCCCCCCACCACTTGACGCCTTACCTTGCTAAGGGGTTTGGTCCCACTGTCCCAGCTCCTCTTGTCCAGGGAGGGGGGCACCTGGTAGACGTCCTGCCCGGTCCCCGTCCCCCCCACGGGGGCCGGGATCTGCCCGGGGAGGGGCCCCAGGGAGGGGGGCACCTGGTAAATGTCCTGCCCCAGGGAGGGG